CCGGGGGGGGAGTCGTTGGCGGCGGGTGCTGCGGAACCACTGCGTCCACGGGATCCGGGAGCGCCCCACCGCCCCGCACGGGACCCTGGCTGTCTTTGGGGGCAAAGGGCTCGTGGTGCTGGAGCTCTGCGTGCAGGGCCAGGAAGTGAGTCTGACCGAGCGCTGCCAGCTCCGCCAGCTGCACGACTGGATATGGGACCTGCAGTGGCTGGTGGGCAGCTCAGGGACCCTCACGCACGTTGCCTTGGCCCTCGGCCATAACTCTGTGGCCCTGTATGACTATGCCAGTCACAGGACCCTGCGGGAGGTGCACTGTGAGGAGAAGTGCATCCTCTACTCCGCTTATCTGGCTGGAGACAGCTGGGACCAGCACGTTGCCTTGGCCCTCGGCCATAACTCTGTGGCCCTGTATGACTATGCCAGTCACAGGACCCTGCGGGAGGTGCACTGTGAGGAGAAGTGCATCCTCTACTCCGCTTATCTGGCTGGAGACAGCTGGGACCAGCTGGCAGTAGTGGCTGGGACAGTCTTTAACCAGCTTGTTGTCTGGCGCGTGGCCGATGGGGACGACGACGAAGCAAGGATCAAGCCCCAGAGGAGGATCAGTGGACACGACGGAGTCATCTTTAGCATCTCCTACTTGAAGAGCAAAGGTATATTGGCCTCCGCCTCAGATGACCGGAGCATTAGGGTGTGGGATATTGGGGACTTGCACGCGCCTTGTGATCCAGTGCGCTGCCTCCTGGTGTGTTATGGCCACCAGTCGAGAGTCTGGTCTGTCAGGTTGCTGAGCGACTGTCTCATCAGCATTGGGGAGGACTCTGCCTGCATTGTGTGGAACTACAGTGGCGAGATTGTTCAGAGCTTTAGAGGGCATAAAGGGCGCAGCATCAGGGCAGTGGCTGTCCACGAGGCACGGGGCTGGGTGGCCACAGGTGGGGCGGACACTGGGGTTAGACTCTGGCACATGAGAGGATCTGAGCCCAGTGGGAATGGCCTTGTGCAGCTAAACTTCAGCTCACGCCGTAGGAATGGATCCCCCAAGGCCGTAAAGCTGGTGGACGCCAGCCGGCTTCTTGTGATGACTGATGCGGGGGCCATCTACAGCTACGACTCGGCCTCCGGACACTGGGCTGTGGTCCTGGAGGATGCAAACTATCAGTCCTACTGCCTCCTGGAAGTTGTGCAGCTGGCCACGGGCAGCGTGCTCTGTGCCTTGGGCAATCTGACGGGGCACGTCAAAGTCTTCCCCCTCTGCTGCCCCACAGAAAGTGAAGAGAAGAGGCTTTATGGGGGGAAGGTCCACAGCCTGAGCTGGGCAGCGTGCCCAGGCAGGGATCCCGGCAGGCCTGCGCTCTTTGCCTCTGGCCCAGGGGGTGTCCTCCTCTGGCTGGAGGTCTCATGCCATTCCTCCGGACAAGTGGCTTCGGTGGTGGAGAGAGGCTGCTTTCTCTTGCCAGTCTGCCGGCACAGGTGGCATACAAGCATTGCCTTCTTGCCTCAGGGAGGCCTTCTGGTCTGCGGTGACCGCAGGGGCTCCCTGCTGCTGTTTGCCCACAGCACGGCTCTGGGATCTGGCGCAGAACAGGAAACGAAGGCTACCCGGGGGGATGGCGACTCCGGTGACAAGCCAGGTTTGATTCCTTTCCAGGAGAAAGGAGCCTGCCCCTTGCAAGGCCCCGTTTCTCTGCTCTTCGGGCTTGATGGGAAGCTAGGTGTGACCTCAGTGATCTACCACGAGGGCTACGTCTATAGCACGGGCAGGGACGGGTCTTACCCGCAGAACAGGAAACGAAGGCTACCCGGGGGGATGGCGACTCCGGTGACAAGCCAGGTTTGATTCCTTTCCAGGAGAAAGGAGCCTGCCCCTTGCAAGGCCCCGTTTCTCTGCTCTTCGGGCTTGATGGGAAGCTAGGTGTGACCTCAGTGATCTACCACGAGGGCTACGTCTATAGCACGGGCAGGGACGGGTCTTACCGGCAGCTCCGCGTGCAGGAGCAGCAGCTGCAGGAGCTGAGGAAGCAGAAGCCGTGCAAAGGGCTGGAGTGGATCCAGCAGCCGTACCTCCCCCCCCCTGGGA